TATTTGCAGGAATAGGCTCTGTTGTCTTTGTAATCAAAAGCCTTTTTTCTTCATTGGATTTACTGGAATTCCAAGGGGAGGGGTGAGTCAGTTTTCTCTCACCAGTTGCTGGGTTACCATGACAACAAATTAGTTAATGGCTTCAAAGGGGCCAGCAAGGGTGGCTTTTGCATAAAGGAATCAGCCTTCTCTGGCTAGCAGCTTTGCAGTGAAGAAAAAACAGATATGTTGTTGCTTTGTAACTCTTCAAGCATAAAGACTCAACATATATCTAGACACTTAAATAGATTCTATCCACTTTAAATTCGCGATTTGCATCAGGCAGGCTGAGGGGAACACTCTGTGGTTCTTCCCCTTTGAGGGCAATTAATTGCCTGCCTCTTGGCTTCTGGCGACAGAAAGGAGGGGAGGAGGGGGGTGGCTGCTTCAGTTCGAAGATCCCTTAAACAAAGTTTCTCGCAGCCAAACAACATCTCCTTTCGAATGCGTAGTGGTGACAAAAAGGTGGGGCTAGGTTGCATTCCAATCTCTCCCTTTGGCTTTGTGTAAAGAAACAGCTTTAGTCTTTCACTCCATTCAAACAGGGCATAGAGAATAAACAAGAGGGGGGAAATCGCCCATTCTAAACGTTTCTCTGTTCTTTAGAGGCAGTCTTTACATGTAATGTTGACTGGCAACAGAATCAGTAGCAAACTGGTATTATTTCTTAGAACAAACATAAAGAATATTTACAGTCCTTTACTTTGCCTGCTAGCAAATGGATGGTGCACACTTCATCTCTCTTTTACTAGTTAAGCAAGACATAGAGAAAATAGTATTTCTTCACTTTAATGAAGACACACACAGTCTTCACTTCATCCAAGCAGGATGTAGAGAAGTCTCATTAACTTTTACTTTTAGCGAAGAGAGCAAGCAGATTAAACTTTAGCAATGCAGACAGATGAAAAGGCAGTTACTGCTTGATACGGAGAATAATATTAATTTTTTACTGTTTCGGGCCTGGATCAAGATGCTTTTTAATCCAAGGCCAGACACATAACTCAAACAAAGATGATTATAAAACAGACATTTAATTCAGGAATACTGCTGAACTCACATTTCTTGGTAGTTTCATCTGGATATTGTACATCTGTTCATCTTTATTAGGTAAAAAATTAATAATCCCTTCATATCAACTTCTAGTGTGGAATGGGACCATGTGTGTCCTGCGGTGGTCCCATACTTATCTCAGACAAAGGCATTCCAAACTGGCACATAGCCAGGATATCCTGTGATGAACTTTAGTAGCTCCTCCTACTGACCTGTTAACATTGGATTAACTTCACTAGTTAAACTATATTACCCATAAGCCATCTCTTAAGGAGACAGTGCTTAACCCAATAAATGCCAGACATTCTAACATACAGATCTGTATGCTCTAGTCAGGGTTACATTGATCCAGCACAAGGTATATGGATTGGGGACTACCACATGGAGGGCGAGAGTATCTTTATTCACCCCCCTCCAATCATATATGGCTTTTTAACTGGTAGCACTGGGGTATTCTAAGGTGAAGAAGTTTGAGTTATGAGTCCCCATTCCAGGAAATTCATTATAATGGGCTGGAGACCTTTTCTTGCCTCCCATTTACTATTATATTGCTTTATATTAGCCACTTGTCCCACTGTGGCTAAAGCCACTGTGATTGATGAAATGAATACTGCCTTCCCTGGCTGTCCTGCTCCAAACCCAAGGTTTCACAGCATTTTCTATTTCTGCTGGGATTCGTGAAATTTCTTTTATTACTAAGACAGTTGCTTTCCATATTTCCTCTTGGGGTATCTGCATCTTTATGTTTCGTCCTTTGTATGTTATGGCTATTTGTAATTTACTAAGGGTGTCCTGTGCCAAGAGTGGGACTGGACATTCCTGTAAATACAGGAACTGGTGAGTTAATGCAGTGCACCCTACTTTACATTCTAAAGGTTGTAAAAATGGGGCTGAAATAGTTTTTCCTGAAGCTCCAACAATAGAGTAGGCATCTCATCAGCAGTCTGAGGAGCAATGGGTCTGTTAAGGACAGATCTGCTTGCTCCTGTATCAATTAACATCTTATGTTTAGATTCCCTAATTTGGACTTCCATCAGAGGTTTGGGGTTTGGGAAGCAATAGCTCCTTCCCCCTGGCCTCTTCTATTTCTTCTGCTCGCATGGCTATAGCCATTGAGCATTCATTCTTCCAATGTCCTTCCTTTCTGCACATAGCACATTGGTTAGGTGCCAAGGGGACCCTTCCTCTTCCACGCCCTCTGCAGCTTCAGACTCCCTGAACTCTCCCTTCTCGCCATCCTCTTCTAGACTGTAGTCCCCTTCCTCCTCCCTTTTCCTGCCTAAGGGCATCTGCTAGGAAGATAGCATTTTGGCTAGCCTTCTGGATTTCTTTCTTATATTCTTCAACTAAAACTTCTTTTGTCTAGCAATACATTTATCTCTACTGCCTCCTTGCCTCCTCTTCTGAGTTCAAAAACTGGTCTACTTTTTCCAACTGCCTTCTTGCAAAACTGACTTTAAACTTTTTGTAAGTAGATTCCACTCACTGGGAGACAGGCATCCCAGTTGATTTTCTAACTTGTATTACAATGACCAGGACAGACAAGTGCAAACCAAAAACAGTGCAAACTGAAACTGCAAAAGCAGATATCAGATGGCACATTTACCCCGCCTTTCTCAGGCAAGAGCTCAATGTTTTAAGCAGGAAAAAAATGATTAAAAGGAATGGGAAAACCGGACCCCTCCTCTTCCTGCCTCTCTCTCCCTTCCAAGGCAGAAAGTCCTTGAGTAAAAGAAAGAAAAATAACTAGCAATGAGGAGATTAGAAAACAATGTTTGAACTACTACACAGAAATCTCACCCCCTTTTTCTACTCAGCATTCTTTTAACAAAATAGTTATCTTTTTTTCTCTCCCTCTTTCACAAGCATTTTTGCATGAATTTCTCTCTCTTATCCTCCATGGGACCTCTCTTTTATTTTTCTTATTTCCTTGCAAATGCTTGCTATTGCCCTTCCACATACTTCACAATTAAAAAAATCTGCAATTATTGTTTATTTCACAGCCTGGGGGTTGGGGGGGGGGTGTCAGCACACACAGGCATTTACACATTAGCATACTCACACATTTATTCTCCATTCAAACTGCTTGCATACAAAAATCCATATACAGATATTTCCTTTCATATTTTCTCCAGGCAAACCAATCATCATTATTATTATTTCAGGGACCTTTTCACAAGCCAATAAGCTCCATTTTTCCAAATCTTTTTTTGTTTTGTTTTTAAATAAGACCTTTTTGTTTATTGTTATTAGAGGGTCTTGCCTCTCTCCTAAGTGGAAGATGGAAATGATATACACACACTACCTCCACACTCCTCTTACAAAAATGGACTATTAATGAGTTTCACAAATAAACTCAAATACTGTATCTCTGTATCTTTTGTTTCTCCAAAATTGCCTTTAATTGCTCAATAAGTTCCATATTATGAGGTCCCAGCCAAAAGTCACGTGGATTGCCCAAAGGAATTTGAAGCCAGACAGACATACAGTAATGAGAAAAGACTGCCTTTAATCACTTTATTTATTCCCCTAATATCTCAAAATTAGCCAAAATACAATCCACCGGTATGTTTTGAGTAGCTTCCCTTTTGGCAACTCTGCCACCCTTTGACCGGATGCCTTTTTGCTGCCAGTTTCCCATTTCAAAGCTGGATCTCAGGCGGATACCTCTCATCCCCTAGGATGTCTCCTGTCCAGTCTTTGCCTTTGTTTGCCTTTTACTTAGGGCTGTATCTCAGGTGGATACCCTTATCCCCTGGGATGTCTCCTATCCAGTCCTTACCTTTGTTTGCCTTTTACTTTTCCTCCACTGCTGTTCCTGCTCCTTGGTTTCTTCAGGGCTTCAGCCTTTGAATTCAATTAAGAAGTCACCCAGGATTTCACTGGGGCCAAATGTTCATTTAGACAGTGACTAGTTGCATTCACTCAATCTACTCTAAGCATTGGTGAGACATGCGGATCTCTGCACATCCCTTGCTTTTCAAGATATCCATAAGCATGGGTCCTGAGTGCAGCTAACAATGCAGAAACACACAGTCTTGGTCACCGATTGGGAAAGTTTTTTTTCAGAGAAGTCACACACCTTCCAGCCACTAACTTACCTATCTGGGGACCCTTCTCCAGTGATCATTGGTATCTTCCAATTGAATCCAGGCGTGGAATCCTGGCACGAGCCTCCAGATTATTGTCCTCAATTCAGGTTTGAGCCTGGTGCTGGGGCCAACAAAGAACACCAGACACGAGGTGCAGGTTTTGTTTTCTTTGATTGAAGTGCTCCAAGAAAAGTGATCCTGGCCAAAATGCCAAGGAACCTCGAATCTCAGAATTAAGAAAGCTTTATTCATTTCCACTAAAGCAGAGGGCGGGATATATAAGAAATATCATGTAATAAACATTTTAGTAACGATCTAACAATTATTCTATTGGTCTCTAACTGTACCTATTCCTAAGCCTTGGTTAATGAATGCTTCAGAAGTTATCTAATACACATTCTATTTGTTCCAGGCCATCTCTATTCCTAACTTTTAGCTGAGCTATACAAGATGCCTAACTCTTTGTTACTTTTATCAGTTTTCTAACTACCCAGTATTGTTACCAGCTTTACATGTGCATATTCTGTGAATAAGCATTCTTTGTTCTTGCCAGAAAAACTCCAGTTACAGGCTTCCCGATCTCCTTTCAAGCCTATGCCATAACCTTGCTTTGTTTTGGCATCCAGCCCATGAGCTGTATCAATTTTTTACAGAAATAAATACAGAAATAAATACTGTACTACTTGTCTATGGCACCGGTTTCTTCCACGTGCATTCACGGTATTGGTTTTACCTCAGACCGGTCAAAGGTTTGCGGGCGCCTCATTGGAGGCACCACCCACAGGTGAAGGGGCGTGTCTTTACACCTGTTTCCCCGCCCCCGGTGGCCATAGGCAGTGTCTGGCATTCAGTTCTTTTTTGGGACAAACCATTGATGTAGAGAGGGGGAATTGCGTCAATGCAGGGGTCACGGGCAGCCACGGTTCATTTTTCTTCTTACTGCCGCGCCTGCTTCCTCCGCACCCCACGTTCCGTGGCCGTTCTTCTTCCGCAGCGGGGCCGTTTCTCGCCTGATCGGCTTGCTGGAGCGTTGGTCCAGTCCAAAGGGCAATAGAAGGGACAAGATGGAGATGGCGGCGCGGCTGTTTATGGGGTCCCTCTGAAGGCAACTTCCCTTCCGGACGGCGGGTGATGTCGGATTCGGAGTCGGAAGAAGAATGCGGCAACAGGCAGCTCAAGTTCGTGCTGTTGGGCGATGGCGCGTCCGGAAAGGTCAGTACAGAGGGCGAAAAGGCTGAGGGGCCTCAGGGACGTATCGAAGGCTTCCCAAACAAGGCGGGCCTCCGCGCCCGGAGGGGGGCAAGTCAGGGGCAGGCTCTGCCAGGTTTCTCCCCGGGGCTCCCCGGCCTTTCCCGACTGCTCCGAGGCCCCGCGGTGATTGCAGAGAGGATACCCGCCTTCTGGTGGACGGTTGTATTTTGGCGCAGAGATTAGGCTGCATGGAAAGGGAAAAGGCTCATCTCATAAAACATCTTGGATGGACGATTAAATTAATCTGTTTGGAAGGGAAGTTCATGATGAAGTATTCCCTCTCTCCTAATGAAATTAGAGAGCCGTTTCCTTCTTAAATGCTATAGTCTAATTTCAACATATGCTCAATGAGAACTGGTCCTGTGATGTAAATGCTGTTCTAATTTATTTTGGAATAGAGTAGCTTTTTCACTGCATTGAACTAACTGTTGTTATTCTGGATTAGAAATCTATGAATAGGAGGTGTTATTTATTTGAAACGAATAAAACATTAATGGCATAACAACAATACAGCATTGTTGGCTTTATTTTTCTGGCTCTGTTTCAAGTATTTGCTGAACAGGATTTCCCTGATTTGTAAATGTGCCTTGTTTTGTCCAGCCACAGAAGGTGCTTCCAAGTAGAATGGTAGAGGTCCGTTGCCATAGTCACCAATGAAGGAGCCTTTGCTCTGCCTGACCTTAGTGGGGTCATACATTGGTTGTGAGAGAAGGCTGTTTTGACCAGCATTCATATTTGGCTTTTCTATCACCACAACAGAGAACCCTTATTATTTTAGGTAACATAAAAGCACTTTAAACAAAGCATGGTATGGCATATTTGCATTCTTTATCACAATTACTTCAACAGTTGCCATAATTTTAATAATAAAAATCTTTGTATATCAATATGGAATATACACAAATAGATGTTATTTTCCCCTCAGTGGAATAACAAAGGTTTCCTTTCCTCCTCTTGTTGAAAATCTGGAGCGAATTTGGGTCTCAAAATCTGGGCCTCAGAAATGGGGAGGCAGGGGTTTAAAAACTATTTGGGGAAACAAAAAGGACAGATACTGGGGGAAAGTGACCATAGTAGAGAATGGCTATCATCAGGAGAATTCATGCTCACTTGCAGAATACTCCTCTTGTTAACACTCATCGAGTACAAGCTATCTCACTGTGTCCAAGATGCTGGATGTCTAAGTAGTACAGAATTTGTTCACACTAAGATTGTGGCAGTATAATATTGCCTTAAGAGGGAGTGCACTGGTGATAACTTAAGATTGTTCTCTCACAATCTTGCAATAAAATGAGGCTGCGTGGGAGAAGACTGTGGAAGAAGACTGAGCTTGTCACAATATAATGTCAGTAACACATGTTAAGAACTTAAGAGCAGCATTAAGATGAAATCTTAAACTCTGTGTCAGAATCCAATTATATTTCATCTCTAGTTATCAATTATAAAAAATTTCTGCCTTCTATGGATTCTGTCATACGATGAAGGGAAGGGGGTGAACAAAGGGGCTTTATGGCCCTCACTTCCTTCGGTATACTTCAAAGGAACTGGTTGTGTGTATTACCAAAAGAGCTAACCATAAGAATGGAGCTGTTACCTTTCATGTAGTTTTCTTTGAAGTCTCCATCCAGCCAGCAGAAAGGAAAAGGGGGTGGAATTGTAATGCCTGAAACTGTCGCTGGAAGAGGGGGGGGTGATTGGGTGGGACTACTGGGGAACCCCTTAAAACCTTGAATGGGAGAGATTGGACCCCAAGTCCTGTCTAGAACGCCTGCAACCATTTTCTCTTAATAAAGGATGCCTGTTGGAAGAATTATTCCAAGAGTTCTGTCTTCTTAAGATGCAAAGTGGGGTGGGTCCTTACACTCTGCCTTGGAAAGAGCAAGGCAACAGGAAAAGTGTTTCATAGTTTGGGGGCCAGCATAGAGAAGGCTATACACTAGTCTCGATGTTCTTAATGGGTTTTTGAGAAAAACTGGTAAAGGCAGAAAACATTGAAGCCTTAAACAGTGTAGAAATATGTATCAGTAGCTTGAATTGGGTCCTGAATGAAATACTCTGCAGTTTTTAAAAAAAATTGGTAATCTTTGAAATAAACCTGGTTACAGCAGTTAAAATTCTGGCAGGTGTATTCTGTAGTACCTCTGGTTTGCTGAGTTAACCAGTTACTTGGATTTGTATAACAGGTACAAACACTGATTTTTGCAGCCCCTAGGCCATGGAGTTCCATATGGGTTACCACAAAAGTATTAGCACTTCATGACCATTTCTCCTGCAATTTAATTAATTAATTAAAAGTTTATGCTGCCCATGTTACTGTTACAGCAACTCTGTGTGGCTTACAGTGTAATAAAAGGTAAAGTTAATACAAAATGATTAAATAGGAAGCGAAAAACCAGAAATATGGAGAACATAGGGATTGAGATCTTTATTCTGTCAGGCATCCTCTACATAGCAGATACAATAAAAGTGGAAAAATAGTGACCAATAGCCCTAATAGCATTATTATAATATAAACTCAATATCAAAAACATTATGATTAGGTGTACTGATGTTCAGATTTTAACCTCTAAAACAGGGGTCCTCAACCTGTGGGCCAGGGCCCACTACCTGCCATGGCCTATTTGCAACTGGGCTGCGTGAGTGACAGGCCGGCACACACATGTGTGCACGCAGCTCCACTTGCACAAACAGGTGGAGATATATATCAGCATATCTCTACCCTGGGGTGGAGATATATATCAGCATACTCATGATATTTTCTCCCAAATTGATGGTTGACTCCCTTAAGTCTTTGTGAAAGTGTTAAACAGTAGGGGTGGAGAGAGAGAGAGAAGAACCCTGCAGTACCTACAGTACTGGAATGGCCTACAGATACTCCTCCCCCTGCCCCTCCCTTCCCAACCATCCATTTAGGAAGGAGTAGATCTACTGAAAAGTAAGTCTTATGTATGGTTTCTATTCCATGGCTAGATCTGAATCTGAATAAAAAGGACCCATAATTTGCTGCCTCTGGGATGTTTTGCAATTGATGCCAGACCACAACCTTTATAACCATTTCTAAAAGAGAATTATACTTGATGAATGTGGCCAGATCTAGAGAAAGTTTCTTTCAAGGCAGATGGCATCATCCCCTCTCCAAACTTGACTGACCTCTTGGGGCTGGATGTTCCGTAGGTCGGAGTCAACGGCAGAGAAATGTCTCTTCCTGGACCCCTCCCAGTAAAAGCTGACAGGGTCTGTAACATGCCCTTTCTGCCTGCCCTGAAAGGCCTTACTTACTTTTTATTGATAGACTATTATGTTACTATTAGTAATTTTTATTATTTTTAAAAAATAAAATTCCATTTTTAAAATATATTTTGAGAATAAGGTTAAATCTTGCTGGTGGACCTATTGTTTTTTATTTTGAAACCATCAATTTATGGGCTTTTTTTTTACAAATCATACCTGCAAGTGTCCTAGTACTCATATTGTGTATCTATTCTGCTGTGGATTGGGTTTATGTGCCTCAAAGCAGATACTGACAAGGATAGCAATAGCAATAGCATTTAGACTTATATTCCAGTGCCCTTACATTTGACTCATTACAGTTTGCTTATTGGAAGAATCACTTTATAGAATTGATGCACTTTCTTCTGTCTTTATTTTAGTTTGATGCACCTGGAGAAGAATACTCATGCGCGAATGCTAATTGTCAACGCTGCTAACATTGGATGTTCTTGCTTTGACAACATATGGAGATGCAGCCTTTACTCTTAGAATTAGATGATACTGGGGGAGGGGGAGGAATGTGATGGGAGTTAGTTAGACATACAATATTGTAATAAGAGCTGATAATGCTTGGCGGGATAACGAACTGGGTGGAAAACCAGCATTTCAAACTAATTGGAGAATGTGGTTTATGACTGTTAGTTGTAGGAGGGAATTGTGCTTTGATTTATGTGCTGAAGGGAGGGGAAGTCAGATTTTGACTTCGACTATGTACGTGCTGAAGCTATGCTGCTCGAGTAAAGATTCTTTAAGATAAACAATGCCTCAAAGTTCTTTGAAGAGTTTCGGAACCATGACAGCTGTTTGTTGATTTTAGTTCAGTGTTCAACACAATCATTCCTCAGGATTTGGTAAATAAACTAGGGCTATTAGGTTTTAATACTTCTTTACATAACTGGATACTTGACTTTCTTATTGATAGGCTTCAGTTTGTGTGAGTTGGAAGTAAAGTTTCCAATTCCATCTTTTTGAGTTCCCCATAGGGCTGTGTTTTCTGTCCATTATGAACCATGACTGCTGTGCTAAGTTTGCTATGAATCATATTGTGAAGTATGTGGGTGACACAGCAGTGATGGGCCTTATCTGGAATGATAACAAAGATTCTTATAGGGAGAAGGTGAAGGCTTTGGTGGACTGATGCAATAAAAATAACCTCATTTCGAGTGTTAATAAAACAAAGGAGATCATTATTGATTTTAGAAAGAGCCGGCATATATTCCACTTTATAACAAGGATGCAGCTGTGGAGGTGGTCAGTAGTATTAAATACCTGGGGATGCAGATAATTAACAATCTGACTTGGTCTCTTATATTATCTTTAGTGAAGTGTGCAAACCAGCGTTTGCATTTCTTGTGTTGGATGAAGAGAGCACATTGGTCAGGTCCCCATAAATCCTTATTGGGACACTGCCATTCTGGTGGAGGGAGGAATCTCAGGATTTTTCTGTGATTCATCCATTTTACTTTGTTCTTCTTTTGCTTTGATGTATCCTCCTGGGAAATGGGAGGGGGAGGGAGGAGCCTGGGGCCATCTGCTTTGTCTTATCTCTGGAGAACCAAGGTCATGGCGCCTGAAAACAACTTCTTATTGCCTTTTCAACTCGGAGTTCTCAACATCTTCACACTTCTGGATTGGCTCCCTATGGACTGGGCAGTTGGGAAGGGTTTGTACAATGGGGTTTAATGTAACAT